GGCTGGGGGTACATGTGGGAATACCCCATCGCCAAGTTAGTATCACGTAAACATTGCAACAGAGAGCTTTGATTGTTTTGGGGGGTTTTCCAGTTCATCAACATGTTTGCGTTTTCAGGGCATTTGTGGACTCGCAAGTTCAGCCTATCTACGGAGGAACCAACGAGATCATGAAGGAGCTCATCGCTCGTACCATCGTCAGCCAGAAGTGAAACTGGGTTGTTGTTTTTAAATTTAGGAATTCAGAATCTTCAGGTACAATGTAAAAAGACTGGATCTAGTGTAGCTAAAAACAACACCGGGAACGTGTCCTGATGACAGCCATGCTTTTTCACAGTTAAAATTTAACAACATACTCAGAAAAAACAAAAACCCACAAAACTGTCAATAAAGATCTCCAGTTTAGTTTTTTTTTTCTTTTTTTTTCTGTAGGTATTACACTCATATCGTTATGTGAATTACTTTGGCTGTGATAGCCGTGCAGTGGAAGTGTGAATGTGAACACCAGTACGTCCACTGGTTTAATTATACTTGAAATTTTCAGATCGATAAAGGGAATAAAAGAACACTGTTTGCTCTTTGCTCTAATTCTGTAAATGTTCAACCACTGTATTCCCCTTTATGACCCTTTTAAAGAGAAGTTTTGAGCAGCAGGTGGGCGGAGCTTCTGCCCTCACACGACTATATATGTAATATTAAGGATGGACATACACTGATCTCATGAGTTGAATCTTTGGACATAATAATAATAATTTTAGCATTCAGCATTGCTACAGTACACATATGACAGGAAATACAGAGAATTTTCTTTAACAAAGTTTGTCAGGAATGCCTTGTTTTAGCATTGCTAATGTGGCCAGTCTGCATCAGATTAAAGATATCTGACGTAATTTCCCTTATAGGAGGTTTTCTTCAAAATCAGTGTTTGTTAATATGCACTTAAATGCCTGCTTTCATAATCTGCCACTCTCAGATAATTTACAAGGGGCATGAACAATGTTTAACACAAGACACTTGTTGTAATTTGATTTTTTTTGCCAATAAAAACCTTGTCAAAGTGCATGAAGCACTAACTTTGTGCCAGTGGTTCTTAGCTCTTGTTTGTGAGTGTCATGAATGTAATGAAATAAATGACATGGAGTGTGACTGAGAAGGGAGACTCCTCTAAATGCCAATTTTAGATTCTGTACATGGAAAATCCCCCAGATTTTTGGAAAAAGTCCAAGCTTTTTTAACATTTTTGAGCCCTCGTAACTTCTTAAAAACAGGATCTATCTATTTGAAATTTTCAGGCCTGAAAATATATTTCAGCTCTTAAAAGCTACAATCAAGGCAAAATTTTCACATGTTCCAAGTTTAAGAATTCAAGACAGGCAGGTCAGGTAAGCAGGGAGGTGTTTTACCTCTCAAAGATCCTCTGAAGTTTCAGAAACATCTTTCGGATACAGTTCCCTGATGTGTTAGCTTCAGGGAACATCTAGTGACAGCTTATTGAATGTTATGTCACTCTACAAGTCTCTCTACATACAGCACAGATTGTAGCAGGTTTAAGATCAATGGGGTGGAACTGTCTGCATCATTACATAAACATGAATTATGAATCACTGGCAAGTGTTAATTATAATTAACTCAGTTTTATGCATACTTGCATTCTTAATTCATCAGTTATGGGTTGTTTTAGTTAAACATCAAAATAAAGATGTCTGCTTTAAGTGCCACACTGATTTATGCTGCATATACTATGCTTAATAATATGGCAGCGTCAGCATCTTCAGTGCATTGACTTACTTCCATCAGTAGGTGGCAGTAAGGGAGTGCTCAAACCTGGAGGAGCCCATGAGAAATGACAGTGCAGTGGAAAAAAGCAGGCTGTTGAATTAGACCTGATGATTCAAAGCATCCCTTCAAAGTTTGAAGCTCAAGTTTTTTGCACGTTAGGCTTGCTGGTGATCAGGTTTTCTGCACATTTATTCAGAATTTTGGGGCATCAGTGTTTCAGAGCTTGTGTATATTTGTAAATATGGTGTCATGTCATTGTCTGTGACCATCACGCCTCACCTCGAGGGCACTGTGAGAGTATCTGCTGTTGACTAGAAGTGGCTCAAATTGATCCAAATATCGGCAGTGTTGGGAAGGTTACTTTTAAAATGTATTCCATTACAGATTACAGAATACATGCCCCAAAATGTATTCTGTAACGTATTCCGTTACGTTACTCAATG